TGTGTGTGTGTGTGTGTGTGTGTGTGTGTGTGAGTGTGTGTGTGTGTGTGTGTTAGTGTGGCGTATTTAGCAGGTTGTCTGGTGAAGGTTCTTCATGACAATCAGCCCAAGCTCAACATCAGCGAACAGGATCTCCTGTGTGTTCAGATCGCTGGTCTGTGTCACGACTTGGGTGAGGAGCACTAAAGCTTATGGAGAGTCAAAATCATCCAGCAACTGAAAAAAATCTTAATTTCATATTTGTGTAGAATTATTATTTTTTTTTTTTATAAGAACTGTTATTTTCTTGGTCTTTTAATTTGTGTGTGGAAAAAAAAAAAGTAATTAAAAAAAATATTTCAAAGGGACAGGACATATATAGATTAAATAATGTTTATATATTAGATTTTTGTCTTTTATTATTTTCAATTCTACAAAAATCATACTGTTTTTGTATTTCTTATGGGGGTAACCATTTTTTTTTCTTTTTCTTTTTTAGGTCATAGTCCATTTTCTCATGTATTTGATGGCCTGGTTATTCCTGAAGTCCAAAAAATAAAACAATCTAAAGGTAAAGTGGCAGTGTGAAATGAAGTGTAATCAGTCGGGTCTTTTTTAATATGGTCTCATATCATTGTTATATTTGGACATGCAGAACTCAAGCTGTTTGTTGGTACAGTCAGTGTACAAGCAATTCTAGTAAATTAACCTGAAATAGTATAATGCATACATATATAAATCACCTTTCACCTTTTCTTAGGCTTGCCTGATGACATCCCTGAAAAGTGGAAAGTGAGCAGTTTTACGAACTAATCGATAAAATCAAAAGTAGTGGATGAAAACAAACAGACAATGAATTTGGTAGTATATTACACACACACTGACACTTCCGGTCATATACTGTATGTATCTATGCTATTTCTGTCTTTACTGCAGCACGAGCAGATGTCAGTTCAGATGTTCGATGACATTGTGAAGCGTCTGAAGGCTGAGAATGAAGACGTGTTGAAAGAACATGGACTGGATGATGAAGATGTGATCTTCATTAAAGAGTTAATCGAAGGGGCAAAAACCTCAGAGGTATAAACTGATACTCCAGCTGTTTATGGTGTGTTAATAAAGTCGACAGTTCAGTATAATGAAGTCTGAATCGCTCTTCTGTTCAGTGGACATACAAGGGCAGAGATGCAGACAAATCCTTCCTGTATGAGATCGTGGCAAATAAACAGAACGGCATCGATGTGGACAAATGGGACTATTCTGCACGGTAAATATTAGGTATTTTGTAAAGATACTAATACTATCTATTTTTAAATGCTCCTTAAAATTAATGTGTTAATATGTTTACCCTAATTCAATTATTTGCATTCATCGTCTCCTGTAAATGAAGTGCTGGGTTGAGTATCAAGACGCGTGAAAATTCAATGCACTGAATTGATCAACTATAAAAAAACTGAAGCAAAACATGTTTTGATGAAAAATATAAATTGCGTACTCTCACATCTATGCAACTACCTGGAATTCATATTATTGTTATTATATTTAACAACTTTAATTCAGGCTTGTCTTATTCTGTTGTCCATCAACAAGCTGTTTTAAACAATCATCCTATCAGTTATGTACCAATTTTTAATACTTATTTAACAGAGACTGTCATCACCTCGGCATCCGAAACAGTTTTGATCATCAGCGTCTGCTGAAGTTTGCTCGAGTCTGTAAAGTGAACGGGAGAAATCACATCTGCTTCAGAGACAAGGTGCCTGCTTCAATTATCACACTATTAAAGCTCTTGTAAAATAGATTTTTAATCTCAGCGTGCTTCCTTTCCTGGTAAAATAAAGGTTATAACTTTTCCCTGAAGCCACTCGATGAACTTACCTGAAGTACAGGACTGCAGATGACTGAAACATGAAGATAAAGATGTTCTACTGCTCTGATGCTTTCATTAAATGTGAGATTTAATGTGAGCATTGCTGTATATGATCTGGATCTCTGACACACTGATGTCTGTGTGTCTCACAGGAGGCTGATAATGTTTATGACATGTTTCGCACCCGATACACTCTCCATCGCCAGGCCTATCAGCACAAGATCTGCAACATCATCGAAGACATGTGAGTTTCTCTGTGGAAATAAAACACAGAGATATAACAGTGAATGTGATTATCCATGATCAGATGATATTTAACATCCTGCATCACTTATTCTTCTTTTACAGGACCTTAAATTCAGCATTAGGTCACTGACTGCACTGCTTACGCATCTTTGAAACACCAACTCACATGTTGTTCTGTGCGTTAGGTTTGATGAAGCTCTCGTACGAGCTGATCGTGATCTTCATGAAGGAAAACCTGAAGATATGCTGAAGATTTCTGAAGCCATAAAGACTGCAGAGGACTACAGCAAACTCACAGATCAGCTGAACCCACCACAAAACAAGAAAAGAACAAATGTGGTCGATTTTACCCGTAGTACGTCTCAAATATACCAAGATAAACACTTTTTAGATTTTTATTTGCCTAAAAACAAACAAACAAAAAATATGTTATTATTATTATTATTTTCATATAAGACAGTGTCAGAAAAGCCTGTTTTGATGATAATAATAAATCTTCTATTCTTCCGTCAGATGAGATCTTTGAGCAGATCTCGTCCTCCACGTCTGATAACCTGAAGGAATCTCGAGACATCTTGAACAAGATCGTCAGAAGAAAACTGCCAAAGTTTGTTGGAGAAGCTCGACTGACTGAGAAAAACATCTCAAAGGTTTGACAGAAAATGTAAAACATTGTTTGACTGTTCGAGTGATATTAGCAATATTCAAAGGACATGTGACTTTAAGGCAGTATTTATTACACAATCCAGTAACTGACTGACTCTCTCGAATCAGGAAGAGCTGAAGAAAACATGGAAAGCTGCAGTACAGAAGTACAAACCTACAGACCCCACTGTTTCTCTGAACGCTGACGATTTACCAGTTTATGTAAGTTATGTTGTATTTCAGAGCTGATTTGCAAACTTAAACTAGATTGCAGGTGTTTAGATGCAGGCTTTTGTCCTCATAAACTATTTCATCTCTTACTCAGGTGGTTGATCTGGATCATGGCATGAAGGAACAAAACCCCATTGAAAACGTCTATTTCTACAGCAAGAGGAAACCCAATGAAGCGTCTGCCATTAAGGATTATCAGGTACCGTCACACTTAAACCAATTATATTTCAGGACATTTTTTCAGATTAGAAGTATGAATCATAATTTAATAAAATAGGTGTGATTAATTCCTCACTAAAGTAATTTCCGTAAGCAACACAGGAGCTTAAATCTATGTATTGGTTAAGTTTCCTCACAATAGAAACTCATTTGTCTTGCACTGTCAGCTGTCCAGTCTTCTGCCGAAGAGGTTTAATGAAGAGCTGGTCAGAGTTTACTACAAAAGAACTGATGGGAATAAAGAGGAGATGAAGAAGGTGGAGGAGGCTGAGAAGTGCTTTCAGATCTGGTGTGCCTCCAATTTTGAACTCCATTAATGTGCATATGATTTATAATATATGATATTTACATTTATTGCTGCAAAATCAGTACAAGTGTCTGTAAATGTACTGATTGTTTAATGAATTATCTACAGGGGCACTTCATTAACAAGTAAGCAAATAAACCTTGCTCACTTCCATGTTACTAAAAACATGTTGACAGAGAGAAACTATAATGGAAAATAAATTAAATGAGTAGTATTGATAGTATAATAATATCAAACAAATTAAGCACACTTTAGTTTGATTAGTGGAGAGTTTTCCGCTGTAATGCATGAAGAGTGACCAGCAGAGGACTCTAGTGCTCTTCATCTGGACTTTTATTTTGTAAATGTTTCTCTGAGTCACTTTGCACCAGTGTCTGTTATAACGCTCCGTCTGATATTAATTGTTGAATTAATCGTACTGTAATCTTGAGCATCTTCATCATCAGTCAGAGTTTCTGATGAGTTTTCAGTTTAGTTTGCTTTGCATTTGCCGGTATAAAGTGCTCCTTAAAATTAATGTGTTAATATGTTTACCCTAATTCAATTATTTGCATTCATCGTCTCCTGTAAATGAAGTGCTGGGTTGAGTATCAAGACGCGTGAAAATTCAATGCACTGAATTGATCAACTATAAAAAAACTGAAGCAAAACATGTTTTGATGAAAAATATAAATTGCGTACTCTCACATCTATGCAACTACCTGGAATTCATATTATTGTTATTATATTTAACAACTTTAATTCAGGCTTGTCTTATTCTGTTGTCCATCAACAAGCTGTTTTAAACAATCATCCTATCAGTTATGTACCAATTTTTAATACTTATTTAACAGAGACTGTCATCACCTCGGCATCCGAAACAGTTTTGATCATCAGCGTCTGCTGAAGTTTGCTCGAGTCTGTAAAGTGAACGGGAGAAATCACATCTGCTTCAGAGACAAGGTGCCTGCTTCAATTATCACACTATTAAAGCTCTTGTAAAATAGATTTTTAATCTCAGCGTGCTTCCTTTCCTGGTAAAATAAAGGTTATAACTTTTCCCTGAAGCCACTCGATGAACTTACCTGAAGTACAGGACTGCAGATGACTGAAACATGAAGATAAAGATGTTCTACTGCTCTGATGCTTTCATTAAATGTGAGATTTAATGTGAGCATTGCTGTATATGATCTGGATCTCTGACACACTGATGTCTGTGTGTCTCACAGGAGGCTGATAATGTTTATGACATGTTTCGCACCCGATACACTCTCCATCGCCAGGCCTATCAGCACAAGATCTGCAACATCATCGAAGACATGTGAGTTTCTCTGTGGAAATAAAACACAGAGATATAACAGTGAATGTGATTATCCATGATCAGATGATATTTAACATCCTGCATCACTTATTCTTCTTTTACAGGACCTTAAATTCAGCATTAGGTCACTGACTGCACTGCTTACGCATCTTTGAAACACCAACTCACATGTTGTTCTGTGCGTTAGGTTTGATGAAGCTCTCGTACGAGCTGATCGTGATCTTCATGAAGGAAAACCTGAAGATATGCTGAAGATTTCTGAAGCCATAAAGACTGCAGAGGACTACAGCAAACTCACAGATCAGCTGAACCCACCACAAAACAAGAAAAGAACAAATGTGGTCGATTTTACCCGTAGTACGTCTCAAATATACCAAGATAAACACTTTTTAGATTTTTATTTGCCTAAAAACAAACAAACAAAAAATATGTTATTATTATTATTATTTTCATATAAGACAGTGTCAGAAAAGCCTGTTTTGATGATAATAATAAATCTTCTATTCTTCCGTCAGATGAGATCTTTGAGCAGATCTCGTCCTCCACGTCTGATAACCTGAAGGAATCTCGAGACATCTTGAACAAGATCGTCAGAAGAAAACTGCCAAAGTTTGTTGGAGAAGCTCGACTGACTGAGAAAAACATCTCAAAGGTTTGACAGAAAATGTAAAACATTGTTTGACTGTTCGAGTGATATTAGCAATATTCAAAGGACATGTGACTTTAAGGCAGTATTTATTACACAATCCAGTAACTGACTGACTCTCTCGAATCAGGAAGAGCTGAAGAAAACATGGAAAGCTGCAGTACAGAAGTACAAACCTACAGACCCCACTGTTTCTCTGAACGCTGACGATTTACCAGTTTATGTAAGTTATGTTGTATTTCAGAGCTGATTTGCAAACTTAAACTAGATTGCAGGTGTTTAGATGCAGGCTTTTGTCCTCATAAACTATTTCATCTCTTACTCAGGTGGTTGATCTGGATCATGGCATGAAGGAACAAAACCCCATTGAAAACGTCTATTTCTACAGCAAGAGGAAACCCAATGAAGCGTCTGCCATTAAGGATTATCAGGTACCGTCACACTTAAACCAATTATATTTCAGGACATTTTTTCAGATTAGAAGTATGAATCATAATTTAATAAAATAGGTGTGATTAATTCCTCACTAAAGTAATTTCCGTAAGCAACACAGGAGCTTAAATCTATGTATTGGTTAAGTTTCCTCACAATAGAAACTCATTTGTCTTGCACTGTCAGCTGTCCAGTCTTCTGCCGAAGAGGTTTAATGAAGAGCTGGTCAGAGTTTACTACAAAAGAACTGATGGGAATAAAGAGGAGATGAAGAAGGTGGAGGAGGCTGAGAAGTGCTTTCAGATCTGGTGTGCCTCCAATTTTGAACTCCATTAATGTGCATATGATTTATAATATATGATATTTACATTTATTGCTGCAAAATCAGTACAAGTGTCTGTAAATGTACTGATTGTTTAATGAATTATCTACAGGGGCACTTCATTAACAAGTAAGCAAATAAACCTTGCTCACTTCCATGTTACTAAAAACATGTTGACAGAGAGAAACTATAATGGAAAATAAATTAAATGAGTAGTATTGATAGTATAATAATATCAAACAAATTAAGCACACTTTAGTTTGATTAGTGGAGAGTGTGCCACTGTAATGCATGAAGAGTGACCAGCAGAGGACTCTAGTGCTCTTCATCTGGACTTTTATTTTGTAAATGTTTCCCTGAGTCACTTTGCACCAGTGTCTGTTATAACGCTCCGTCTGATATTAATTGTTGAATTAATCGTACTGTAATCTTGAGCATCTTCATCATCAGTCAGAGTTTCTGATGAGTTTTCAGTTTAGTTTGCTTTGCATTTGCCGGTATAAAGACTTCTGTGTCTAAATGAAAATTAGTGTCCAAATTAAAAATTAAGATATACTAAATTGTAATTATGAGATTGACATGACAGGATGGAATTGTGATTAAAAAAAACTGGTATGTTACATAAAAAAGTCTGTTGACATAAAGCATCAACATCTAAACCTCTGCTAATTCTCAATAAGAGCTCTTCCTCACTCCTTTCTTTAAAATAGTGTTGAGAGATTGATTGACTTTTTTGTGGAAAAAAATAAAAAATAATGATCTGAAATAGACAGACTTGCAAACAGAGAAGAATGTAGTACCATGAGGACGATCACATGATGAATCTTCATTTTTGGGTGAACTATCTCTTGAAGTATTACACTGTAGCACAGCTGCATTAAATCCACTCACACACTCCTAACTGTGCACACAATCTGCTGTAGAATAACTGCAGCACAGCTTAAGTGCAGTTTGAGTGCATTCCCAATCATAAGATAGTAACTGCTGTACTTCTAGGGTATTACAGCTGAAGTTCATTGCAAGACAAGTTCATCTCAATGCAGCACATTGATCAGATCAGCTC